GTGATTTTGAAATCACGCTTCAGCTCATCTCTAGTTTGAAGCATGGGTCACCCTGTCCAAAAACGATAAAACAAAACGAATTGTGGTTAAACGGTAATCCGAATACGACTGCTTTGCATCTGTCCTCGGAGCCCTTAATATTATGTTTTAAGTAAATTGAGTCTTAAATACTCAACATAATTTTGCGTGCGAAAACATTAAATTAGAAACCAAAGCTGTGAACAAGTGTCACATAAATCAAGCAGCACTTAAAATGTGATCGATTCCAGACTTTTCCCTTTTCTTTTAGATTATCGAAATCGGGGGGTAGGTGGGATAAATATTTGGAAAATATTGGTTTGTTATCTCGTCGTCGATATTGCCTACGTTATGATATTTTTATCTTTCCTGGGTCTCAGGCAAAGTGTGAAGTAAAAATTTTGATTAAAATTTAAAATCAAAATTAATTCCTGGGTTTCAGTCATTTATTGTCCTTATTTATCAATTAAAATACGTTTCTGTGTATTTTTCCACCATCATCAGTTTTTATGTGTAGCGTTGTTGCTACTTTAAGCCTTGGCATACATTTCGCCAAAAATGACTGAAACCCAGGAATTAATTTTGATTTGGAATTGAAACACAGTCAGGAAAGTATGTACAATTAAAATTTAGGAAAAATTTAGAAAATTTAAATCTTGAATTTGTCTCTAGACAAAGTCCTTCAAGGAGGCAGAGACCTAAAAGAACGTTGATTTTTACCAATCATGAGTTTCTGTAAATTTTAAATCTGATGATGGCGCTGTTGTCTCGCCGAAACGTAATGAAATAGCGATTTTCAAAATTTTTACTTCACACTTTGAGACCCAGAAAAGATAAGAATATCCTAATAAGTACACGCAGTCAGGAAAATAAATCAGAATTGCGTGAGTTCTTGTTGAAAATTACTTTAATGGAATTTCGACCAAATTTTGATAACTATTAATACAAAGTGTTAAAAAATAAGTTTGAAAATGACGTTGAGTAAACCATTCACACAACTAAAAACTCGCACCGCTGCGGCTATAACTGCAGCGTCAGCAGTATCCTGCATATTGACGAATGTAGAAAAACGTTTGAACCACAATTCAAAAGGAATTTTGCTTCAAGCATTCGACACACCGTGTAGATTTGCCGCACGAATTGTCGAACTTTTTCACTCAAATGTTCGGTCCAACGTTGGAACGAATGATCGACGCATCGTGTAGCGACGGTTTAAACAGGCAGTGAATGGGGTTGTCTTGTGTAGGGGCGTTCGTTTATACTTAGTAACAAGTAAACATCAACTACTATAAAAACATATATTTACACTCCCAAACGGTAGACAATGTGTAATGGCAGTTCG